GTAGTGTTGAGAGCAGCAGACAGCTTAAGTTTCACTTTCACTTTGCTCTGTTACTGCCGAGAGCCTGCTGGAGTTATGGGTGGGGTGTGTGGGATGGGGGGGTGGGGAGGTGTGCTTCGTAATGAGGAAGCTCGGCTTGGAGACACATCCCAGAGGCAGAGATGGTCCCAAAAGGCGTTTCTGGTCCCCACCTGTCGTTTTGCTCCTCAGCATGGCTGCTTAAAAACGCTGCAGGATTTATCAAACATGCATGAATGATTCAGAGCAAGGATTTGGACATGTTTTTTAATGACAGTATAACATTATACACATTACAAACATTATAACATGATTTAAAACTCAAAAAAGTTGATTTTACATGATATTGCCCCTTTAAGTAATACAACACAAACTCAGCCATTTAGTGATAATAAACATGAAATATTCACTTTCTTTATGCTTCAAACACAAAAAGCAAAAAAAAAAACATTATTAATGTTATTAAATGTTGTCTTTCAAAAATGGCATTCATATTTAACACAAAAAACATGCCACAGGCACTTAAAAATGTTATTTTGATATAATGATCTGTAACAGAAAAGTAATTAATGAAGTCGTCAGAGATTTTCATAAAATGTTTTGCGTTTTGTCACAGTTTCATGCTCCCCTTGTTTTGCGTCCCAATGCAGAGTGCGATCCAGGCTTCTTTGGTGCCGGCTGTGAGCAGCCATGTGACTGTCCAGGTGGAGGGTCATGTGATCCCAGGACTGGAGATTGCTTCAAACAGTGTCCTGCAGGCCTTCATGGAGATCTGTGTCAGCTGGGTGAGACGAAAGGCTGCTTTGAAGCACCGCAAAGGACAAACACTTAAATAAAATACAAATAACTGAATACAAACAGGAAAAAACAAYAACAACAAAAAATAAAAACTGATGTCAAGTTATTCCAATTTTGGTTGAGTTTAACATTTTTATTATAATTCACTGCCTTACAGATGTTCAAAAGGTATTTTAATATAAATGAACAGTCCACTGATATCATCATTAAATACAAGAGTGTGTGCGGGATATATGAAGTGGTCTTCGTACGGTTACATGTTGACATCAGAAATTTTTTGCTAATCTGCACCCTTTCTAGCATCAATCTTTAAATGTATTCAATTCATCCAAAGAAGCAAATATAAAAATATGTTTCTTTTGATAAACTGAACGCATTTAAAGGGTGAAATACAATAAATATGTCTTTGTCTTGATTTCAGCTGGATGCGTAGGTGTTCTTATTGTTTTAAGCTGCACAACGTCACAGACGACTTTTCCTGCACAGCAGGGTGTCCTCTAGCTGTTTATTCTGAAGGTTGATGATAAGTTCAACCCTCTGCTCTGTGTTCCAAACTGATACTGACATTTCTTTATGAGCTGAAATTTGTTTTTGTGAACTGGACTAAAACAACAGAGCAGAATTCCTCTAAACTATGTTACTATTAATGCAGAAAAGACGTGTAGGCTCAGCTGAGTTTGTCTAAGACAAATAAACAAGTCTATAATTTATTTTTTTTGTGGATTTTTTTGTTTTGTTTTGTTTTTTATAAGCTCAAGTTGCAGGTTGGATCTTGACAGTGATGATTTACTATGGTTACTACTCCAGAAGCTTTTGGCAGAAGCAGAATAAAAGTTTTTTTTCTAAACTTTCCCTTGTGCAGTTCGCTTTTCTTACCCAGACTCTTCTCTGTGACCGCTGTTTTACCCGTCTCTGCTTTTAATTCTCGTGTTTGTTTGTTATCAGCATGTCAAGCAGGAAGCTTTGGTGAAAACTGTCGCCTGACCTGTGACTGCCAAGGAGCTCCCTGTGATCCTGTAACTGGAGAGTGCATTTGTCCTGCTGGGAAGACAGGAAACTCATGCCAAGAAGGTATTTATTTTGTCACACGGCCCTTTGATAATAGTCTGAAGAGGAAACACAAGACCACAAGTTCTAGTTTAAACTCACTGACATTACAAGTTTACTGTATTTGCAAGTCATTGAACAACAGTTTTACGCTCCTTTATGACGAACTGATTTGCAAGTGCCCAATGTTTTTTAAGCAAGTTTTACTGCAAGGCTTCACATGAAATAACCATCAGGATTTGTTTACTGATCCTTTTGTCTGAACATGACTTGCTCCTTCCCAGACTGCCCTGATGGATTCTGGGGGCCAAGGTGCCAACATCCTTGCCCTGACTGTGCGAATAGCGCCTCCTGCAGCAAGCAAACTGGTATGTGTGACTGCAAGGCAGGCTTCATGGGAAACCTCTGTCAAAATGGTGAGTTTGCATAAAAGCTAAATTGAAGTGCTATTTCATAAGTTTTTTGTTACACAATCACTTAAAGTTAGGTTTTGAATAAATTGAATAATTTCTGCTGCTTCATGAAGAACTTTTTTATAAGGATTTTTTTTTTTTTGTTGTACACAGGGTGTCCTGCAGGTTTTTATGGACCAGGCTGTCTGACACCCTGTTCTTGCCACCCTGGTGCCAGTTGTGACCCCAAGACTGGACTCTGCCTGTGTCCTCCTGGCAGAAGTGGCCATGACTGCGCAACGTGTATGAGTTTACTGGGCAGACGAGTAATACAAATACAGTACAGACCAAAGGTTTGGACACACCTTCTCATTCAAAGAGTTTTCTTTATTTTCCTGACTATGTAAATTGTAGGTTCACACTGAAGGCATCAAAACTATGAATTAACACATATGGAATGATATACTTAACAAAAAGGTGTGAATCAACTGAAAATATGTTTTATGCTCTAGGTTTTTCCAAAGTAGCCACCTTTTGCTTTGATTACTGCTTCGCACACTCTTGGCATTCTCTTGATGAGCTTCAAGAGGTAGTCACCTGAAAAGGTTTTCACTTCACAGGTGTGCCCTGTCAAAGTTTAATAAGTGGGATTTCTTGCCTTATAAATGGGGTTGGGACCATCAGTTGTGTTGTGCAGAAAGTGGGTACAGTAGACAGCTAATAGTCCTACTGCCTAGACTGTCATCATTATCATTTCTTAAAGTGTATCTTACCCCCCCACCCCCCACTGTGAAAAGATAACTCCGCCCCAAGGCGAAATTTGAAAAATGCATCAAAGTGGGTAGGGGAGGGGGGGTTAGAGAGCAGAGGTGTGGCCAGGACGAAAGAGCTGTCCGCCTCACACCACATCAGCCTCGGACAGAGGAGTGGAGTGCTCCGCGACAGCCTGACATAAAAAAAATAAAAGCATACAGCTGCAG